GCAGCTCAGATCAGGCTGGGCATCAAACCGCTGTTGCTCAGAACTCACACTCTTGAGCGAGCTCTTAACCAACTGAGCTACTCAGCTGGCCCGTTCTGTTGCACATTTTAAATATTTTTCTATATTATTTTCTACTTTCACAGCCATATTTTAATTTTTTATTATGGAAATAAATTCTATTTTGAAAATGAATGGCTAACTGTGAACTTATTGGCAACTAAACTTCTAGGTGGTAAGGAATAAAAGGGAAGGGAAAAATAAGGAAGCAATAGTACTTGTAAACATAGATCTGATCCCTAGTTCTTTTATCTATTAGATTTACTAAGACTTTGTTCTTCTAATAAAATTTATATTAACTTTTGAATGTATTAGGTTGGGACCCTGTATTGCTTTTTCTTGGTAATTTATAAAAATCAATTATCTTAGTTTGAAGCCAAGAACATATGAAATTTTATGGTTAAACAACATATATTAGTGTGTACGTATTGGTAAATTGTGCTACTGCAGTGTACCCATAGGAGGAATAAATTTGAACTGATGGGCTCCTAAGAATTTAGCCTGTAAATTCTCAAACATGAAGAAATTTTATTCCTTTTTTAAAAGATTTTATTGGGGAATTGGGGGAGGGGAACAGCACTGGGGAATCCGGGGAATGGGAACAGACAAGTTGCTGTCTTCTTTTTGTTGTTGTTCTTCAGTCTAGTTGTGGAGGACATCGCTTCACTGGCCCATGTTGGTATTATCATTGGGCTCTTCCCGGGTGAGGCAGATCAGTCGCCAGCCTCTGGACGGCTGCTCATGGCGGCTATTGGCAGCTCACACCGGCTGCCAGCCACTCACGCTGGCTGCCAGCCACACACAGTAGCTTATGGCAGCCCACTGCAGTGGGGGCTGCAGCCTACGCCATCACCGGCGACTCATGGCAGCCCAGCTCCAGGTTGAGCTGTTGTTCAGCATCTTAGCTGTAGAAGGCAGTGTCACTGGCCCCCATGTGGGATCCAAACCAGGGCTCTCTGGCGTCCCAAGCCAGCTCTTAACCAACACTCAACTCAGCCGGCCCTAGAAACAATTTTTGATCCCTGTTCTCCACTCTGTTCCTCCCTAGTTGCCCCCATCTCAGTAAATGTCACATTTAGCTTTTGAATTGCTTAAGCCAAAACCCTAGAAATCATCATTGACATGATTTACATATTCTATATTAATTTCAGCAAATTCTATTCAACAATTAATATTCAAAATATATCTCACTTCACACCCCTACTAGTAGCACTCTAGCTGAAGACACTCTTTATCTTTTTTTTTTTTTTAAGATTTTATTGGGGAATTAGGGAAGGGGAACAGCCAAGTTGCTATCCTTTTGTTCTTCAGTCTAGTTGTGGAGGACATTGCTTCACTGGCCCATGTTGATATTGTGATCATTGCGCTCTTCCCGGCTGAGTCGGTCACCAGCCATTGAACGGCGGCTCACAGCAGCCCACTGCAGCCCCAACTGCAGCCTATGCTGTCACCAGCGACTCATGGCAGCCCAGCTCCAGGTCGAGCTGTTGTTCACCATCTTAGCTGTAGAGGTCACTGCATCACTGGCCCTCATGTGGGATCCGAACTGGGGCCCTGCTGCTCAGAGCTGGCGTCCCAAGCCAACTGTTAACCAATGTGCCACTCAGCCGGCCCTTATCTTTTCATATTACTATTCTTCAACGGTTCAGGAAAACAGGAAGATCCTTTTAAAATGTGAATCACGTATCCCTTCCCTGCTGTGAATACTCATGGCTTTTCATCACATTACAAACAAAATTGAAAAATTTCTCTGTGATCAACCCGGCTTTATGGGATCTGTCCTGTAGCCACTTTGTTGGCTTCATCTGCCACCCTCCTACTTGCTTATCCTGTTCCAGCCACATTGGCTCTGCTGTTCTGCTCACAATGTAAGCACATTCTCACCTCAAGGTTTTTTTGTTTTGTTTTGTTTTGTTTAAAGATTTTATTGGGGAATCGGGAGGGAAAAAGACAAGTTGCTGTCCTTTTTGTTCTTCAGTCTAGTTGTGGAGGATGTCGCTTCACTGGCCCATGTTGGTATTATTGTGCTCTTCCTGGGTGAGGCAGATTGGCCGCTGGCCACTGGATGGCCGCTCACGGCGGCTCTTGGCAGCTCACGCTGGCTGCCAGCCACTCACAGTAGCTCACGGCAGCCCACTGCAGCAGGGGCTGCAGCCTACGCCGTCACTGGCGATTCATGGCAGCCCAGCTCCAGGTCGAGCTGTTGTTCACCATCTTAGCTGTAGAGGGCAGTGTCACTGGCCCTCATATGTGGGATCCGAACCGGNGCCCAGCTCCAGGTTGAGCTGTTGTTCAGCATCTTAGCTGTAGAGGGCAGTGTCACTGGCCCTCATATGTGGGATCCGAACTGGGGTCCCCTGGCGTCCCAAGCCAGCTCTTAACCAACTGAGCCACTCAGTTGGCCCCCTTAATGGGCTCTTAAAGCTCCTTACTCCACCATTTTCACTGACATCACTCCTTGATTCACTCTTTCTGCCTGAATCCTTGAAGAATTTTTTTTGTTTTTGAAGTTTAATAGCCTAATTCAGATATGTAGAGTGTCTTGTGTTTTCCTATAATATAATGTGTTCCAGTGTTACACAATTGTTGGTACACCAGTGTATTTTTTGTAGTCATTCCTTGAAGTGAGAATTATTACAGATGTTCTGTAATTTGGGCTGGGCTTAGCTGGGCCAGCCTGCTGATCTTGCTTGGGCTCATTCATCCTGCTGCAGTCCTTTCATGGCTTTACTGTGGCTGGTTGTCTAAGATGGCCTCATCATATTTGTGGTCTTATTGGCTGGCTGTTTCTTTCCATGGCTTCTTTACAGATTGTAGGAACATTCTAAAACACTGAAAGTGAAAGTTACAAGGCTTCTCAAGATCTTCATCATCTTCTGATTGCTGTGGTAGCTTTTTAGCCACCATTTGGCCTCTGTTTTATGTTTTAATATTGTTTTCCTTCTCATTCTATTTTTATTCTCTTCACTTGTTTCTATTGTTTTTTGGTAAAATACTACTGTATTTTGTTGCTGAGAGTTCATACAGACTCACTCCCTGGTAATGGAGCTGCACCCTGGTTACAGTTGGTCTGGGTAGAGCACACCCACCCACCGGGAGAGGGAAATTCCTGTCAGTTAGCACTGCTCCTGTTATAGAAGCGCATCTCAAAGCTTTATCCCGGTAGTATCACTGACCTGAGAGTGTAGTTTTTGTTTAGAGTATTCTCTACTCTAGCCACACATCTGGCGTAACCTTTTTTTTATTGCCTTAGGTTACTGTATCAACAACTGATAGAAGAAACAATAAACTGATTTTCAAAGTGAATTTGGTAGAAATGGATGAGAAGATATTGGTTGACTTCCGGCTTTCTAAGGTATGTAGAACAACACATTTTTTTAAAAACTTTGTTTTGCTATTAAAGAACTATTACATATTCATTGTAGAAATTTTAGAAATAACAAAAAAGTATAAAGAAGAAAATAAGAATCAAGTTTAATCTTATTCCAGAGAGAATACAGATTTTTTTTTAGCTGAGCCATCCTGCCACCTGTTGGCAGCTCAGCAGCTGCTCAGCTCGGGCTGGGACTCGAACTGCTATTGCTCAGAGCTCAAACTCTTGAGTGAACTCTTAACAAACTGAGCCACTCGGCTGGCCCGGATTTATTTTTGATCTAGTCTTCTAATAGTATATACTATGGAGATACTCTTGTGGAATTTTAAATGGCATTGTATTTGTGTATACATGGAATTTATAAATGTATAATAACTTGCTTTTTTCATTTAATATTATGAACGTTTGTTCTTGTCGTTAAGTATTCTTCTAAAACATAGTTTTTTCAAATGACACTTTCCTTATATAAGTTATTGATTTTATAGAAAGTGTAACAAGAAAATAAAAATAATCTTAAGTTATTTTTACCCTTAAAATAATTACTCTTAATTACACCTAATAATTTTGAAGCATTCTAAGCTTTTTATTATTGAGTTCATAGATATCTTTTTCATCAAAATTATGATATGTCAAACATGTTTGCATATGATAATTAACTTTTATCTGTTACAAGTAATTCTGTGATAAATATTCATATACATAGAGTTTTGTTTATATTTCTGATTATTTGTTTAGAAATTATTGTTTCTGAGGTTATAGTGTTAAAGCCCTTGATATATACGATGAAAATAGCATCTTCTCTATTTCTTGAGAGATTTTGCATATCTCTAAAGGAGGTTGGAGGAGGTCACATTTTTTTATATTAGAGATGTGCTGCAATATTGTTGTCCAGATGTTTGGTATGGAATTAAATTATTAAGATCTTCGTGTAGTAAAATCTTTCTTATAACTGAAACACTGGCTTTGTTTCCACAATATTTTTGCAAGACTCATAGCTTAGTTTTAGTTTACAAACCTTCAGTACCTATGGAAAGCAATGAATTAAGTCTCAAAACACCGACATGTGAAACTGACTGGATGCCATTGCACCTGCTCCCTGAGCCCAATGGGGTAGGAACAGTGAGGGGCCAAAAAGCAACTCAGAATTTTATTTTATTTATTTATTTTTTTTTAGCTGAGCCATCCTGCTACCTGTTGGCAGCTCAGCGGCTGCTCAGCTCAGGCCGGGACTCGAACCGCTGTTGCTCAGAGCTCAAACTCTTGTGCGAGCTTTTAACCAACTGAGCCACTCGGCTGGCCCTAAACTCAGAATTATTTATGTAGCCATTTCTTCTCCCAAGATATTTGATCTTCATAAGAGTACCTGAAGGGAATTGTAGCTAGACGTATCTGTAGATATTTGTTTCTACTAGAGAATTTGATTTATGGCATGGTCTTCTTTTTTTTTTTTAACATTGTTTTTGGATATTATTCCTAATATAGGGTGATGGATTGGAATTCAAGAGACACTTCCTGAAGATTAAAGGGAAGCTGAGTGATGTTGTGAGCAGCCAGAAGGTTTGGCTTCCTGCCACATGATAAATCCACTGGTTCTGGGATTCCTGGTGAATATAGTGCTGCTATGTTGACATTATTCTTCCTAGAGAAGATTATCCTATTCTGCAAACTGCAAACTATAGTCTCTGAAGAGTTGTCTTCCCACTAGCCAACATTTTCCAATTTTTTTTTGTATTTTCTGCATATAAATAATACCTATATTTTAATTATAAATAAAACTTTGGGGAAGGATGGATAGAATTCATTAGCTATTTTTTCATCTGTGTTTACTGTCTAAATCTGAGACCCACCAGGTGGAAACCACGCTTTGGGGATATATGAGTTTACCAGCTTTTATACCAACATAACTATGCAAGATGACACTCTTGTCCCATTTTTATCAAAACATTTGGTTTTATCCAAAAAGTACATATTGCTTTCACACTGATTTAATTAAGTGGACGAATTAGTAAAAACAATCCTGGTGACTTTTGGGCAGTAGATTTATCAGTCTGTGAAGTGATGCCAACTTCAAAAATTATATCCCGAAGATTTTTTGTATTCGTGTTTTGAAAAGAGCCTGACCAGATATATAAACCCATTTTTGAACTATTGGGTTGTCAGAAAAGTCATGACGCATTTTTGCAATGAAAAAAAACAGAAAAAATACTTGATGACTTTTCCGACAACCAATATAATTATAATTAAAATTGCAAGTAGGGATGTTTTTCTGGTGTAGTTAATAAAATGTAAATATAAAACACTGGCTGGTTGGTCTTTCAAGTAGAAGTTGAGCATAAACTCCAGTGCTTAACTACCTTTAAAATTACTAAATTACTGTTGCACATTTTTTTTTTTTTTTTTTTTAGCTGAGCCATCCTGCCACCTGTTGGCAGCTCACCGGCAGCTCAGA